GATGGAGCAAGTCCTGAAGAAATTGGACGGTGTGGAGAAAGCTCTCCACCGCTCCCATGCGGGGTCGTCCTCGCAATCTGCTCCTCCCGCTGCTCCAGTCGCTCCTCTCGCCGCGCTCCTGCCCCATAATCCTGTGGGATCCCCGGCGCGCTCAGTTCGTCCTCTGCCTGCGGGGACTGGCTTTGTTGGCGCGGGTGGCGGGGACCCGTGGGCCCAGTTCGCTCCGCCACGTCCCCTCCCTGCTCCTCGTGATCTGGCAGTGTCGGCTCGCCGATCTCGCGCGTCTGCATTCCCCCCGCAGATGAAGCCAGTGCCCACGGCGACCCTGGCGCACTTGTGGTCGTTGGCGGAGTGCCTGCAGAGTCTTGAACTGATTCTCCAGGAGTCGCATGGCTCCATGTTGGAGACCCCGCCGAGCACGTTCTCTCAGATGCCGCGAGCAAGGTGTCACGCGGCGGCGTCAGCATTATTCTCGTTCGTATCGCCACTGCAGGTCGCGCCCTCGCCGGGAGTAGTCTCGGCCACCCTGCTGGCTGAGACGGCCCTGGGTCTGAGGACCCTTGTAGCAACTCGTGGAACTCCTGTTGACGTTGTCGGCGCCACCGCGTCAGTGGTCCGCCAGATGTGGCTGACCACGCGCGAAATGCTTGGTGAGCTTGAGGCGGACCGCATGTAGGCGGCCCCCTCGCGCGTGTGTAGACCCGTTCCATGGTAGCTTGTCTAGTTGTCGTTGTCTGCCATGGTTGTTGTTTTTGCCGTCATCTAGCCGTCCTTGTTTTTGTCCTTGTCGTCCCAAGCGCGCGGCCGCAGGCCGCGCCCGCGAGCGCCGGCGCGGAGCGCCGGCGCGAAGCGCCGGAAAAATCAGAAACACCAAATGAAGAATGAGCTGGAGAGAAGGCCAAGGGGCCCTTATATAGCTGGGGAAGAGAGGGGAAGAGCCTAGGAGGGAAGAGACTAAGTCCCTTGCTTCTCTCTCTCTCGCTCTCTCGAACGAAGAGAACCGGAAAAATCAGAAACACCAAATGAAGAATGAGCTGGAGAGAAGGCCAAGGGGCCCTTATATAGCTGGGGAAGAGAGGGGAAGAGCCTAGGAGGGAAGAGACTAAGTCCCTTGCTTCTCTCTCTCTCGCTCTCTCGAACGAAGAGAACCGGAAAAATCAGAAACACCAAATGAAGAATGAGCTGGAGAGAAGGCTAAGGGGCCCTTATATAGCTGGGGAAGAGAGGGGAAGAGCCTAGGAGGGAAGAGACTAAGTCCCTTGCTTCTCTCTCTCTCGCTCTCTCGAACGAAGAGAACCGGAAAAATCAGAAACACCAAATGAAGAATGAGCTGGAGAGAAGGCCAAGGGGCCCTTATATAGCTGGGGAAGAGAGGGGAAGAGCCTAGGAGGGAAGAGACTAAGTCCCTTGCTTCTCTCTCTCTCGCTCTCTCGAACGAAGAGAACCGGAAAAATCAGAAACACCAAATGAAGAATGAGCTGGAGAGAAGGCCAAGGGGCCCTTATATAGCTGGGGAAGAGAGGGGAAGAGCCTAGGAGGGAAGAGACTAAGTCCCTTGCTTCTCTCTCTCTCGCTCTCTCGAACGAAGAGAACCGGAAAAATCAGAAACACCAAATGAAGAATGAGCTGGAGAGAAGGCCAAGGGGCCCTTATATAGCTGGGGAAGAGAGGGGAAGAGCCTAGGAGGGAAGAGACTAAGTCCCTTGCTTCTCTCTCTCTCGCTCTCTCGAACGAAGAGAACCGGAAAAATCAGAAACACCAAATGAAGAATGAGCTGGAGAGAAGGCCAAGGGGCCCTTATATAGCTGGGGAAGAGAGGGGAAGAGCCTAGGAGGGAAGAGACTAAGTCCCTTGCTTCTCTCTCTCTCGCTCTCTCGAACGAAGAGAACCGGAAAAATCAGAAACACCAAATGAAGAATGAGCTGGAGAGAAGGCCAAGGGGCCCTTATATAGCTGGGGAAGAGAGGGGAAGAGCCTAGGAGGGAAGAGACTAAGTCCCTTGCTTCTCTCTCTCTCGCTCTCTCGAACGAAGAGAACCGGAAAAATCAGAAACACCAAATGAAGAATGAGCTGGAGAGAAGGCCAAGGGGCCCTTATATAGCTGGGGAAGAGAGGGGAAGAGCCTAGGAGGGAAGAGACTAAGTCCCTTGCTTCTCTCTCTCTCGCTCTCTCGAACGAAGAGAACCGGAAAAATCAGAAACACCAAATGAAGAATGAGCTGGAGAGAAGGCCAAGGGGCCCTTATATAGCTGGGGAAGAGAGGGGAAGAGCCTAGGAGGGAAGAGACTAAGTCCCTTGCTTCTCTCTCTCTCGCTCTCTCGAACGAAGAGAACCGGAAAAATCAGAAACACCAAATGAAGAATGAGCTGGAGAGAAGGCCAAGGGGCCCTTATATAGCTGGGGAAGAGAGGGGAAGAGCCTAGGAGGGAAGAGACTAAGTCCCTTGCTTCTCTCTCTCTCGCTCTCTCGAACGAAGAGAACCGGAAAAATCAGAAACACCAAATGAAGAATGAGCTGGAGAGAAGGCTAAGGGGCCCTTATATAGCTGGGGAAGAGAGGGGAAGAGCCTAGGAGGGAAGAGACTAAGTCCCTTGCTTCTCTCTCTCTCGCTCTCTCGAACGAAGAGAACCGGAAAAATCAGAAACACCAAATGAAGAATGAGCTGGAGAGAAGGCCAAGGGGCCCTTATATAGCTGGGGAAGAGAGGGGAAGAGCCTAGGAGGGAAGAGACTAAGTCCCTTGCTTCTCTCTCTCTCGCTCTCTCGAACGAAGAGAACCGGAAAAATCAGAAACACCAAATGAAGAATGAGCTGGAGAGAAGGCCAAGGGGCCCTTATATAGCTGGGGAAGAGAGGGGAAGAGCCTAGGAGGGAAGAGACTAAGTCCCTTGCTTCTCTCTCTCTCGCTCTCTCGAACGAAGAGAACCGGAAAAATCAGAAACACCAAATGAAGAATGAGCTGGAGAGAAGGCCAAGGGGCCCTTATATAGCTGGGGAAGAGAGGGGAAGAGCCTAGGAGGGAAGAGACTAAGTCCCTTGCTTCTCTCTCTCTCGCTCTCTCGAACGAAGAGAACCGGAAAAATCAGAAACACCAAATGAAGAATGAGCTGGAGAGAAGGCTAAGGGGCCCTTATATAGCTGGGGAAGAGAGGGGAAGAGCCTAGGAGGGAAGAGACTAAGTCCCTTGCTTCTCTCTCTCTCGCTCTCTCGAACGAAGAGAACCGGAAAAATCAGAAACACCAAATGAAGAATGAGCTGGAGAGAAGGCCAAGGGGCCCTTATATAGCTGGGGAAGAGAGGGGAAGAGCCTAGGAGGGAAGAGACTAAGTCCCTTGCTTCTCTCTCTCTCGCTCTCTCGAACGAAGAGAACCGGAAAAATCAGAAACACCAAATGAAGAATGAGCTGGAGAGAAGGCCAAGGGGCCCTTATATAGCTGGGGAAGAGAGGGGAAGAGCCTAGGAGGGAAGAGACTAAGTCCCTTGCTTCTCTCTCTCTCGCTCTCTCGAACGAAGAGAACCGGAAAAATCAGAAACACCAAATGAAGAATGAGCTGGAGAGAAGGCTAAGGGGCCCTTATATAGCTGGGGAAGAGAGGGGAAGAGCCTAGGAGGGAAGAGACTAAGTCCCTTGCTTCTCTCTCTCTCGCTCTCTCGAACGAAGAGAACCGGAAAAATCAGAAACACCAAATGAAGAATGAGCTGGAGAGAAGGCCAAGGGGCCCTTATATAGCTGGGGAAGAGAGGGGAAGAGCCTAGGAGGGAAGAGACTAAGTCCCTTGCTTCTCTCTCTCTCGCTCTCTCGAACGAAGAGAACCGGAAAAATCAGAAACACCAAATGAAGAATGAGCTGGAGAGAAGGCCAAGGGGCCCTTATATAGCTGGGGAAGAGAGGGGAAGAGCCTAGGAGGGAAGAGACTAAGTCCCTTGCTTCTCTCTCTCTCGCTCTCTCGAACGAAGAGAACCGGAAAAATCAGAAACACCAAATGAAGAATGAGCTGGAGAGAAGGCCAAGGGGCCCTTATATAGCTGGGGAAGAGAGGGGAAGAGCCTAGGAGGGAAGAGACTAAGTCCCTTGCTTCTCTCTCTCTCGCTCTCTCGAACGAAGAGAACCGGAAAAATCAGAAACACCAAATGAAGAATGAGCTGGAGAGAAGGCCAAGGGGCCCTTATATAGCTGGGGAAGAGAGGGGAAGAGCCTAGGAGGGAAGAGACTAAGTCCCTTGCTTCTCTCTCTCTCGCTCTCTCGAACGAAGAGAACCGGAAAAATCAGAAACACCAAATGAAGAATGAGCTGGAGAGAAGGCCAAGGGGCCCTTATATAGCTGGGGAAGAGAGGGGAAGAGCCTAGGAGGGAAGAGACTAAGTCCCTTGCTTCTCTCTCTCTCGCTCTCTCGAACGAAGAGAACCGGAAAAATCAGAAACACCAAATGAAGAATGAGCTGGAGAGAAGGCCAAGGGGCCCTTATATAGCTGGGGAAGAGAGGGGAAGAGCCTAGGAGGGAAGAGACTAAGTCCCTTGCTTCTCTCTCTCTCGCTCTCTCGAACGAAGAGAACCGGAAAAATCAGAAACACCAAATGAAGAATGAGCTGGAGAGAAGGCCAAGGGGCCCTTATATAGCTGGGGAAGAGAGGGGAAGAGCCTAGGAGGGAAGAGACTAAGTCCCTTGCTTCTCTCTCTCTCGCTCTCTCGAACGAAGAGAACCGGAAAAATCAGAAACACCAAATGAAGAATGAGCTGGAGAGAAGGCCAAGGGGCCCTTATATAGCTGGGGAAGAGAGGGGAAGAGCCTAGGAGGGAAGAGACTAAGTCCCTTGCTTCTCTCTCTCTCGCTCTCTCTCTCTCTCTCTCTCTCTCTCTCTCTCTCTCTCTCTCTCTCTCTCTCTCTCTCTCTCTCTCTCTCTCTCTCGTGACTCAACAACCTTGCGGGAACCTTCCCTTCCGCTTTGAGACGTCTCACAACTTCCCTCCCTTCTCTCCCTCTTTCCCTCTCCCTTCTGCAGTCACTTGGGTTTTAACCGCCTTACAGGAACCTTCCCTTCCACTGTCACTCGTCTGCTGCAGCTGCGCACACTGTAAGAAGGGCTGCTGTGCTGCATGGCATTGCGTTGGCATGCTGTAGTTTCCTTCCCTCAATAGCAGCTTTGGCGTGTTATTTTCTTCCACTGTCACTCGCCTGCTGCAGCTGCGCACACTGTAAGAGGAGGGCTGCTGCCTAATCTGCATGGCATTGGCACTGCACTGGAATTGCTTTGTTTTGAGACGTCTCAAAACACTTATTTTATCACGGCGCACACTGTGAGAGGAGGGCTGCTGTCTAATCTGCATTGCATTGGCACTGGTCTTGCTAAACTCTCTCGCAACCCTTCTGCATTCCTCTTTTACTCCTCCCTCCCGCCCCAGCCCCCCCTTCCCCCCCTCCCCTCCCTCCCCCTCCCTCCCCCTCCCTCCCCCTCCCTCCCACCCACCAGCAACCTAGCTAGCATCCAGCTCACAGGGAGCATACCCACCGGCCTTTCTTTTTTCCCCCACAAACGTCAAACATTCTTCTTCTCTCTTCCCTTCATCGTTCCCCTTTTACTCTCCGTTCCTCTCCCCCCACCCCCAGCAACCTAGCTATCAACCAGCTCACAGGGAAAATCCCCATTGGCCTCCCTTCTTACCCTCGCAGCCATGTTTCCCGTCCAAACCTTTCCCTGTTCCCCTCTACCCCTCTCCACCCCTCTCCACCCCTCTCCACCCCCCTCGTCCATCCAACCAGCAACTTAGCTAACAACCAGCTCACAGGGAAAATTCCTACCGGCCTTGCCAAACTCACTTGCAACCGTTCTGCATTCCTCTTTTACTCCTCCCGCCCCACCCTCCCGCCCCCCCCCTTCCCCCTCTCTCCTCCCTCCCCCTCCCTCCCCCTCCCTCCCCCTCCCTCCCCCTCCCTCCCACCCACCAGCAACCTTGCTAACAATCAGCTCACAGGGAAAATCCCCACCGGCCTTGCCAAACTCTCTCACCTCGCCTTCCTGTGAGTGCCATGCCGTGCCATGCCGTGCCATGCCGTGCCATGCCGTGCCATTCCATGCCATGCCTTGTCATGCCATGCCATGCCATGCCATGCCATGCCATGCCATGCCGTGCCTTGCCATGCCTTGGCATGCCATGCCATGCCATGCCATGCCATGCCACGCTGTGCCATGCTGTGCCATGCTGTGCCATGCTCTGGCGCCTTTTGAGACGTCTCAAAAGCTGTCCCTCGCTTCCTCGCATGTTAGATTCTGCAACGTTGAGAAATCTGATCAACTGCCCCTCCAAAAAAACGGCCCCTGCCCTCCCTCCCATTTGTTTCAGCACCGTCTTGTTGTTTCAATCGATCTTCAACTTTGTATTAACTTGGTGCTGCAGACAAATTTGAATTTGGAAAGGCTCGATTCCCCCAATTTCTCCTCCCTCACCAACATTACATCGCCTCAAAACACACGTCCCCCCCCCCCCCCCCCCCCCGCTCCCCCCCTCTTACCCCCCTTCCCCCTCCCATGCCCTCCTCCCCACACACAGACGCTTGGATGGCAATCAGTTTACAGGCCCCATTCCCTCACAGCTCTACTCCCTCACCAACATCTCGTACCTGTTCGTACCACTCTTCGTCCCTCTCTCTTGCCCAACTGCTTTCGCTACCGTCTCAAGCCGTCATTCCCTCGCACCTCTACTCACTCACCAACTCATCTCCTACCTGTTCGTGCCACTCCTTCTGTTCATTCACTCCGATCTCTTGAGAGACCATTCAAGACGTCTCTCAAGTCGTCATTCCCTCGTCAAGCTGTTCTACTCACTCACCAACACATCTCCTACCTGTTTGTGTCCCTTCCTTCCTACTCCTTTCGCTCTGTCTGTTCAACTGTTTCGTTTCAATTGTTGGTCGTCTTTCCCAAATCGCATCGTCACTCACCTCGGATCAGAAGCTCTGAGACGTCTGAAACCCCTCCATCCCACCTGTTTCATTCTACCTGTTTCTGGCCCTTTGCTCCTCTCTCATCTTCCCTCCCCTCATCCCTCTGGCCCTACAGTAGCACTTGCCTCATCCCTGCCACTGCCACTACCGACATCTCTGTCCACTGCCCCCTCCCCTCATCTCTCCCGTCTTTCCCTCTCTCTGCTCCTGCTCCACTCTTTATCTTGCTCCGCTCCTCTACCCCTCTCCTCTCCTCTCCTCTCCTCTCCTCTCCTCTCCACTCCTCCCCTCCCCTCCCCTCCCCTCCCCTCCTCTCCTCTCCCCTCCTCTCCTCTCCTCTCTCTGCTCCCAGTTCTCTCCATTCCAACCGCCTATCAGGCAGCATTGCACCGCAAGTGCCATTTGAGGCGCCCCAAAACAATCCTCCTCACTCCTCCTTTCTCAAACGGTCCTTTGTATTAATTCAGCAGGGGTACAAACATGCGGTGCTATCCATGATAACCTCTATCCCTTAAGCCCCAAAACTTACCACTCTTCACCCCCCCCCCTGAGTGACCCTCTAGCCCTCCAGCGTGTGGAGGATGTCCCCCAGGTGCAGCGGCCAGGGGTCCGCTGCCATCTGGGGGTGCGCTGCCTCGATCCCAGCCCTGGCCCTGTCTTGCCCCTCCTCCCCTCCCCCTCGCTCCCCCCTCCTTAGGTCTCTCCGTTCCAACCGCTTATCAGGCAGCATTGCACCGCAAGTGTCTAATTATAAAGCCCTGCAGCTGCTGTGAGTGCCTTAAAGCCCGAATCTCAACTTAAAGCCCTGCAGTTGCTGTGAGTGCCTTGAAGCCCAAGTCTCAAATTAACGCCCTGTAACTTCTCCCATGAAATCTCAGCCCTTATCCCCGCTCGCTGCAGTTGCAGCTGCTGCCATTCCCGCTTGCTCCAAAAATCCTCCAGCTGATGCGAGGCAATTGGCAGAAAATGCGCTGTGCTAGTCTTTCTAAGCGGCTGCTGCTGCGTGTTGTGTTATCCCTTCTGTTGCTGCTGTCTCAGGGTCTGGTGGGCTTCGTTCTTCCTTCTTACTTCTTCCTTCTAATCCCCTCTGGTTCCGTGTGGTTCTATGTGGTTCCGTGTGGTTCCTTCTAATCCCCTCTGGTTCTGTGTGGTTCCGTGTGGTTCTATGTGGTTCCTTCTAATCCCCTCTAGCATGGCAGGGATTTGAGAGACAACATGCTGACGTCATCCATCCCGTCCACCCTGCCATCATGTGTCAAGCTGCTCTGGCTGTAAGCGGAGGTTGGGAACAGAGGCTGGAAATGAGGCCGAATCTGAGGCGACTCTTGAGAGGAGTTTTGAGGCGCCTAAAAAATCATCCCATCCACCCTGCCATCATGTGTCAAGCTGTTCTGGCTGTAAGTTGAGGCTGGGAATAAGGCCGAAATTGAGGCCGAAACATTCACCTACTGTTTTTTATCACCACCTACCGTTCCTTTCAACTCGGACGTCATCCATCCCATCCACCCTGCCATCATGTGTCAAGCTCTTCTGGCTGTAAGTTGAGGTTGGGAATAAGGCCGAAAATGAGGCTGAATCTGAGGCGATTCTTGAGAGGAGGCTGAAAATACTGCAACTCAAACTGAGCTGACTGAATGAAAGCACTTCTCTTCACCCTTCCTTTTCTTTCCACTGCTTCCCAGTTTCCTTCCTTGCCATAATAACCTGTGAGAGCTACTGAATCAGCACTTGTTTCTCGAGTTTTGAGATGTTTCAACAATCCCTGTGAGAGAGCTCATCATCATCATCCTCACTTCCTCTTCTCAACTGCCTTCAAGAATTCTTTTGAGATGTTTCAAAACTCCCTGTGAGAGCTATTGTAGTGGCACTTGTTTCTCGGGCTATCATCATCATCATCCCTTCCTCTTCTCAACCCTCTCAGCTCTCGTCCTTCCTTCCCTCCGTCCCCAACGTCCCGGTCAGCTATGTGATCAACGTCCCCTCACAAGCTATTGTAATTCCTGTCTTTCCTCACCCTTCTCAGCTATCGATATTCTTTCTCCCCCTCCCCACCCACCATTATCCCTCTCAGCTATCTGAGCAACAATCGCCTCACAGGTTCAATTCCCGCTGCCATCGGCAAACTATCAAGGCTTAGATTCCTGTGAGTCATGTGATTCCTGTGGCTTATCTCATTCATCAGAAGCACAGCAGTGGTGCTCTGTCCGCTGTCTGCCTCTACGTTTATTTCACTTTATTTTGCCTTCTTTCTTTCTTCCTTTCTTTCTTTCGTCCATCATATCCCTAAAGTGGGGCAAGCACCTCTTGAGACGTCTCAAAAGCTGCGTTACATTCCGGAATTCATCCCCCCCCCCTTCCCCCCCCTTTTTCTTCCCCCCTCTCCCACCACCCCCTCCCTTCCCTCCCACCATTCACTCACTCCCCCTCTCCTTGCCCCACCCGCCCATCCCCCTTCATCCACCCCACCCGCAGGCTAATAGATTCCAACCGCCTTTCTTCCACGCTGCCTGCCGCCCTCTCTGCTCTCTCGCTCCTCTCCCACCTGTGAGTATGCCCTCAGTTCAGAGCGGTGCAAAGGGGTTGTTGGGAGTCCAATGCCTTCCCCCTGTCTCCACAGCTCTTGCCTTTGCTCCCACTCTGCTCCCTCTCTGCCCCTCTTTCCAGTAACTACTGTTTGAGGTGCTTCAAAATTCTTCCCCGCACCAGAGCATCAACAGTCTCACCAGCCCCGTCCCTCCCATTCTCTGTGCCTTATTGTCCCTCTCTGCCTCTCTCCACCCCTCTCTACCCCTCTCTGTTCCGTCCCCTTCCCTTAACCTCCCAGCAACAACACTCTCACCGTCCCCATCCCCCCCACCCTCAGCACCCTCACTGCCCCTCTCTGCCTCCCTCCACCCCTCTCCACCCCTCTCTCTTCTGTCCCCTTTCCCCTTCCCTCACACCAGCGATGCCAGCAACAACACTCTCACCGGCCCCATCCCTCCAGGCCTTGGTGAACTCTCCTACCTTGCCTACCTGTAAGACCCTTTAACCAAACTCGCTTCACCGCACTGCATCCCTCTTCACCACATTCTTTCATTCCTTCTTTAACATTCTTTTCCCTGTTCCTCTCTTCCCCCCCCTCCCCCCCCACCCCCCCACGGCCTTGTTTCTCTCCCTTCCTCTCTGGCCAATTGGAGAGGAACAACCTTGTTTGTGGGTGATTTGGCCATCACCTTAGTCTTTTTCAGGGTTGTTGCAAAAAAAAGAATAGGAACCTTGTAAGCGAATTGTCTCATGACCTGTTTCCCTGCACCCCTCTTCCTTCCCCCCCCCTCGATTTCATTCTTCTCTTCCCCTCCCTCCCCCCCACCCCCCCTCCCATCCTAAGTTGCGGAAGACGCGTCTAGGGCTGATTAGACGCTGGGTTAGACACAAGCCCGGGCAGGCAAAAAAAAATACGGACAGCCAAAAAAAACCTTCTGTGGGGCATGGGGAGGGGGGGGGGGGGGGGGGGGGGGGGGGGGGGGGGGGGGGGGGGGGGGGGGGGGGGGGGGGGGGGGGGGGGGGGGGGGGGGGGGGGGGGGGGGGGGGATATGGACGTAGCTAACATTTGAGGCAATTTCTTCTTAGGTCTTGATTTTTTCCCCCCAATTTTTTTTTCCAGCCTGCCCAAAAAAAATTCCCCCTTGCGTCTAGCGTCTAGACGCAGGACGGTCCTGGCATCTTCCGCAACTTAGCTCCCATCCAGCCAATTGGATCGAAAAAACCTATTGGGTGGAATCCCAACCACCTTGTTTTTTTTAGACGTCTCAAAACTCTTTTTCCTGCTCTCCCTTTTCCGGCCTTCCCCTGCCCTTCTCTCCCACTCCTTTCGCTGCTCTGCATCCCTGTTTCCCCACTTGATTGATTCTCCCCCCCTCACTTCCTGCCAATTGGATTGGAACAACCTTGTGGGCGAGATCCCATCCCATCCACCTTGGTCTCTTGAGATGCCTGTCTCAAAACTCCTTTCCCTGCGCTGCTCCCCGGTTCCCACCCTTGATTTGATTTCCCTCCCTCCCTCTCCAGCCTATTGAATCGCAACAACCTTGTGGGCGAGATCCCATCCACCTTGGTCAACCTCCCTTACCTCTTTCAATTGTATGTTTGTTACAGTTCAGGTGAAATATAATATATATATATATATGTATATGTATGTATATATATGAATATATATGTATATGTATATATATGTATATATATATATTTATACATATCTATTTCAACAACGTAACATTCTCTTCACACTAATTTAAAAAAGTATGCCTTGTACACATCCCCACCTGTCCGGATACCTTTCTTGCCACCAGCTTGATCGAAAGCTCACTCTCCCTCCCTCCCTGCCACCTTTCCCAGTGCTGCTTTGCACCATAACTCTACCACATTGCTCCCTCATCCCCGTCCCCCCACATCCCCTCCCCATCACTTCTCCCAATCACATGTTCAGAGACTTTTCTTGCAATCTGCTTGAATCCTCGCCTGCTCCTCCCCCTCCCCCCACATTCCCCCAGTCTTAATTGCACCCCTACCCTGCCTCCTTCCTCCCACTTCCCCATTCCCCCCACATCCCATTCCCCCCACCACATCCCTTCCCCCACATCCCTTTCCCCCACATCCCGTTCCCCCCACATCCCTTCTCCCCACATGTTCAGGGATCTTTCACAAAACCAGCTAGTAGGCTCAGTACCGGACATCTTTCCCCCAGTGTTAACTACAACCCTACCCTGCCATCCTCTCTCCTCTTCACTTCCCCACCCCCTAACACATTTCAGAGACCTCTCACACAACCAGCTAGCAGGCTCAGTACCGGACATCTTTCCTCCTGGCAACGAGTTGAACACTGTGTGAGTGTTCTCCTCTCTCACTCTCACTCTCTTCCCACCCATGAACCTCGTTTCTTAATGTCCGGGGACTTCCCTTCCCACCAGAAGGCTCAGTCCCATCCACACATCTTCCCCCCTGGAAGTGAGTCGAACACTGTGTGAATAATTTCCTCCTTCGCTTTCCCTCCCTAACGCTCCTTCGGTTTTTTTTAGGCGCCGCAAAGACGCCTTTCCCCCCTGGCAATGAGATTGAAGAAGTGTTTTGAGACATCTCAAAACCCCCTGGCAATGAGTTGAGTGTTGTGTGAGTACACATTCCTTCCTCTCTACTTGCTTCCCCTGCTTTGTCACACTCTAATGGCTTTGGCGCGTACAGCAATCAAATCTGCTTCGTCCGTCCGTCTGCCTGTGTCACACTGTCATTCTCATCCCCTTTAGAGACATGTCTCAGAACAAGCTCACTGGTGTGCTTCCCGCCACAGTCTCTACATGCGCATCCCTTGTGTCGCTGTGAGTTCTGGTTCTGACTTTTGAGTCGACTCAAAAATAGGATCCGCTGTGAGTTCTGGTTCTGATTTGTGTGTGGGTGGGGGGGGGAGGGGGAGAGGGGGGAGAGGGGAAGAGGGGAGGGGGAGGGTGGAAGGAGAGAAGGGAAAGGGGGGAGGTGGTTTGCCTCTGTACTTTAGTTTCTAAGTTCTCATCTCTCTTTTGTACAGTCTGTCTTTTTTCTGCCAAGTTCCTCGTGGGATCTATTCCATTATGGACCACCAGTCACCATTTACCACTCACTCACAGCTTTTCTTACTCTCTTCTCCTCCCCTCTCCTCTCCTCTCCTCTCCTCTCCTCTCCTCTCCTCTCCTCTCCTCTCCTTTCCTCTCCTCTCCTCTCATCTCCTTTCCTCTCCTCTCCTCTCCTTTCCTCTCCTCTCCTCTCATCTCCTTTCCTCTCCTCTCCTCTCATTTCTTCTCCTCTCCACCCCACTCATCTCCTCTCCTCACCACTCCTCTCGACTCCTCTCCACTGCTCTCCGCTCCTCTCCTCTGTTCCCTCTCCATTTGACCTTTCTCCCCACATGCAACGTAACATTAAGCAATTTGTTCGTTGACTAAAAAGTTTGCCACTCCCCTCTCCTTTCCTGCTCCTCTCCCCTCCCTACTTCACCCGCTTAACCCCCCACCCCCACACCTCTTTCTTCCTCCTCTCCCCACCCTACTTCACCCATCCCTCTCCTTCTTCTTCCTCCTCTCCCCTCCCTACCTCCCCACCCCACCCACTCGGACAGTCACATTCCGTTCCCCCAGCAGGGACGTCAGCAACAGTGCCCTCAGGGGAAGGCCGGCAGATCTGATTACCAACCTCCAATTTCCACTTCTTTCTCCTCCCCTCCCCTCCCTGCCTCTGTCTCCACCCACTGACACAAATTCATTCCGTTTCCCCAACAGGGACATCAGCAACAACGCCCTGAGTGGAAGGCCGGCAGATCTGATCAGCAACCTTCAGTCGCTCGCATATCTGTGAGCATTTCCCTTCCCTCCAACCCTCTTCCACCCTCTTCCACCCTCCCCCACCCTCACTCACCCTCCCTCACGTATCCGTAAGCATTTCTCATCTCTTCGTCCTCCCCACACCTTACCCCCTCCTTTCCCCTCCCTTTTTTCCAGCAATCTCTCGACTTTTGAGACGTCTCAAAAGTTTTCCAGCAATCTCTCACGCAACTATTTCCTCAAGTTTACTCCTCCGCCCCATCTATCGCCCTCCTAGACCCCTCCTGCAACCACCTCTCTGCCTTATCCCACCGAATTGACCCCCAAACCTGATTTTTTTTTCTCCCCTTCCAAACCCCCCCCCCCCCCCCCCCTTTCCCCCCGTCCCTGCGTTGCCTCCCCCGCCCCTCCGTTCCCCTCCTGTGCCCTTCCATTCTCCATCCACCCTGCCCCCCACCCCACCCCTCCCCCCCCCATATCCACCCATGCAGCAATCTCTCACACAACTATTTCACTGGCCCCCTCCCTCGGGTTTACTCTGCCCCAGCCATCGCCCTCCTTGACCTCTCCCGAAATTACTTCTTTGGTCCGGCAAGCATCGTTGACACCCAGGGCACACCGCTGCTCTCCCAAACCTCTGCCCCAGGCTCGGGAACCATCCAGAGCACCGGAGCTGCAGGCTTGGCGCTGAGCGTGGGGAGAAACTGCCTGGTGTATAGTTTGTCAGGAACCGGAGCAACAGCAGCATCAGGCTCGGTGCTAGGTTTGGAAGGGCAGAGGAGCGTGGACGACTGTAGCCTGTTCTGCCGAACCGGACTGAGTGGTTCGGCAACCGAGGCTGAAAACATGCAGTGTGGAGGCTGGGGGGTTTGCTTTGCCAAGGTGGTAACCACCAAGTCGCCTCCAGCTGTTGTATTTGCATGTAAGCAGTTTACTTTGCACCGTGGAAACATGCATTTAGATTCTTCCCATTAGATTCTTCCCATTAGGTTCTTCCCTTCTCACATTTAATCTTTGCCATAATCTGCTGCTACAGTACTCTTCTCACACTCTCTCCTCACCATCGTCTCCTTCATATCTTAAATTCTCCCTCATTTTCTGCCTCGTCTTCTCCCCTATTTTCCCCCTCACTTTTTCCTAACCAGTTCTCATTCTCGTTCTCTTTCTTCCCGCCTGTTTCCTTGCTTGAATGCTCTTCCCTGCCAGGTGCACCCTCCCCTGGATTGCCCAGGAAACCCCCTCCGCCCCCCCCATCCCCTCCCCCATCGCCACCACCGCAACCACCACCTTCCCCTCCCCTTTCCCCACCTCCCTTTCCTCCCTCTCCCCCTCCTCCTTCCCCGCCGTTTTCTTCCCCGCCCCCCCCACCCCCTCCTCCCCCCGCTGACTCCCTTCCACCCCCGCCTTTCCCCCCTGACTCCCCCTCACCCCCCCCTTCCCCTTCTGACTCCCCCTCACCCCCGCCTTCTCCCCCCGACTTCTCCCCTCCCCCACCCTCCCCCCCCGACTCATCCCCTCCCCCACCTTATCCCTCCAACAACACCCCTCCTCCACCTCCTTCCCCCCCCGACTCCCCCCCTCCCCCTGCCCCTCCGCTTTCACCTCCCTCCCCACCCTCGCCTCCACCTTCCCCCCCTCCCCCCTCCCCTCCTCTTTCACCCCCTCCCCCCTCACCTCCTCCCTTTTCCCCTCCCCCTCCAACCTCCCCACCTCTTCCTTCTCCTCCCCCCTCCTCTCCATCCCCTCCCTCTCCTCCTCCCTTCCCGCCTCCCTCTCCTCCTCCCTCTCCTCCTCCCCCCTCTCCATCTCCTCCCTCTCCCCCTCCCTTCCCTCCTCCCTCTCCTCCCCCCTTCCCTCCTCCCTGTCCTCCTCCCTCCCCTCCATCCTCTCCTCCCCCACCCTCGCCCCCCAGCCCTCCCCCTTCCCCACCCCCACCCCCCGCTCCTTCTCCCCCACCCCTTGGATGCTTCTGGAACGGGCAAAAGTTTGTTTGCAATGGGAAGGTGTAGCAGAAACAGGGAAGCTGTAGCAGGGACTGGGAAAGCTGTAGCAGGGACAGTAACAGGGACTGGGGCAGGTGGAATGATTGGGGCAGCTGTAGCACCAACGAGGGTAGGTGCAGGAGAGACAGGGGCCGCTGTTGAGGCACAGGGGTGCTGGAGCAACAGAGAAGCTGCAGCACCAACAGGGGCAGCTGTAGCAGCAACGAGGGTAGTAGGTGCAGGAGGAACCGGGGAACTGGAGCAACAGGGGCAGCTGTAGCACCAACTGGGGAAGCTGCAGCACCAGCAGGGGCAGCTGTAGCACCAACACTTGACAACAGACAGTACATGACAAGTTACTAAACAAGCGTTTTTTTCATACTGAGTGAGCGTAGGGGCAATGGGTGGATCAGCTGAGTTGTACAAGGCGTGGCTGTAACAGGGACTAGGCATGTTAAGCGGGAGTTACAATTACTGCGTCTGCTGTTTTAGTAAGTGTGTGAAGCAGCAATTGGGGCATTTGGGGGAGGGTTGTTGCACTGGCATAACCATAACCATCCGTGGTAACATGTAGGCCAGATGGAAGCAGTCATGGCGGGCGGCACCTGTGGCAGTTGTGATTTACTCGTTAGCTGTAATAGGTGGAGTTTTCACATAATTTCACTCTGTTAAACGGAGTGCTCTGATGGTTGACAGGTGATTGGATACATCTGCAGCCTATTATATTTATATGGTAAATATGGTAAGTATCATAGTCTTTGTTAAATATCTAACAACATACGAATTTCTGTACCTAGTGCTCTTAAGTGAGGATAAATGGTGTGTAGTGAAGCCGTCAAGCCCTCGCAAGTTTTGCCCTACGAACCATTGTCGTGTAAGGCAAGCGATGGTCACCTTACTCCTTGTGACAGAAGTCCGTTTTTCGCAGAGCTCGCACGGTTTGGAGCAGCAACCTTGCCATCAAACCAGTCCCGAATCAGTCCAATTATAAGCAGACGACGGCTGGGGGCTTGGTCTTGATTCTTATGGCGAGAGCTGCCACTTCAACGTGTCGCATGAAGCGCTAAAGCTTCGCTAGGAAACCTGAACCGTTACAATCACTATCGGGGATCACGAGTCGCTTCACGTCCGAGGTGTCATGACACCCGTCAACACATCGCTGGGAGGATTCGAGGGAGGGCGAAGGGTTTGACGGCATCGGGAGGACCGTCCAGTACTTTCATCCTTCAGGACATGATCTGAGTGCACGAGTTACAGGTCTGGTGACATCGTGATACTGAAGCATTTGTTCCTCGTTCTGAACAAACTTCACTTCTGTTGCCACAAGTGCTCCGAAACGTAAGATTGGGGACTGGAAATGGTACGAGCCGATTTCCCGGTTGGCTCGACTGACTCTGATCGGTTCGGCTCAGTCAGCCCCTCTGCGCTCCGTATGAGCCAATAGATGGAGGGTGTAGCGCCTTGCGCCTCGATTTCTCGAGCCATCAAATCGAGCCGCGCTAAGCCAGCTGCCCCTCCCTGCCCAGAATACCTACCAAATAGCCCCCACCTCGGAACATAAAATTGCACTCAACAGTCTTCATCCGTCACAATTGTAGTTCTACCTACCGCTCACGCAAAACAGCATTCCTGTCGCTTTGTTTCAGTGCAGTAAGTCCTACCCCATCAGGACTGCCCCTTGCTCTACGAGCATTCGTGTGGGGCCGAAGAGGCACTTTCCAGTTGTGAACTCTTCTCTCAACAACAATGGAAACAGCTTGGCTGAAACGTGCGGCGGTCTGGACATTCGCAGGCCTAGGCCTCGCGCTCGCCATCATCTCTTGCTGCGAGATGGCGGACAATTACCTCGTAATATCCCACCCGAGCGCGTGCGTCGCGTCGTCCAACCGCACCCATTGCGCGGCGGAATTCCGCGTGGCGCGACGATCTCTAAGCGTGGTGCCGCAGTCGCAGGAGCAAGTAACCGTTGCCATGGTCGCGGGGGTGCAAGCGCAAGTCGCGGCGATCATCGCGGCGGCGGACGAAATCAAAGCCAGCAATGTGCGGAATGATCACTTCACGAACGCCATGGCGCGGGCCTGCGCGCGACAGGCTAACATCGCGCTGCGGTACCTGGGCCAGGCGGGCGACGCCATCGAAGCCGGCACGAATCAGCGCGACGTGCCGTACTGGCTGGCCGCCGCCGACACGCAGGTCGATAACTGCGTCGACGGATTCCAGACCTTCTCTCCCTCGACGGAGGGCCTCCCCGCTTACGTCCACCTCGAGGTTAGTTCCAAGCTCGATCGAAACAAAAAAAACACATCGGTTTTATTCCGCGCTGAATCATGGTGATGCGTGCCGTTCGGGTATTGATTCTCCCCTTGTATCGCTCCTCCCTTCCCCTTCGACTGCTGCTCAACTACTCGTTTCGGAAACGCATCTTCTAAAAACGGTGTCCCGCCCACCCTGCTCCTTTCCCTTTCCTCAGTACACGGCTAAGAAGGCGAGCCGCACGCTCGACGCGCTCGTATCAATCACCAACGCCGCCGCGAAAGCCGCCGTGGCCGCCGCTATCGACGTCCCATCGACGGAGGAGGACGTGGCGCCCGTGCGCGGACGCCGCATGGCCGTCCGATCCAGCAGCGGCGCGGGTTCCGCGGGGAACGACGCAATGGACTGGCTCGAGCCGGGCTTGTACGCGCAACTGCAGGAGCTTCAAACGAGGATGAACTCCGCGTTCGCCGCCGGTGTTGGCGGGGAGGATTCGGAGGGTGGATTCTTGGCGAGGAGGCAACTGGACGACAATGATGACGATGATGATGATGATGACGAGGATAAGAAGGACAAGGAGAAAAAGAGCAAGAAGGACAAGGACAGCGGTAGCGATAGCGGCGGCAAGAAGAGCAGCAAGAAAGCGTCTCCCACCGCCGGCCCGATGGTCGTCAGCGCGACTCTCACGGCCAGCGCGACCGTCGGATCTGGGTACTCGACAATCCAGGCCGCCGTTGACGCCGCACCCGGCGGCTCGCGGTTCGTGATTTATATTCCCGCGGGGACGTATAACGAGCAGGTTCTGATCGAGACGACGGATATTGTTCTCATCGGCGCGGGTGCGGATAAGACGATCATTACGGGCGACGAGAGCTATGGCAGCGGCTCGGGAACGTTCGAGTCAGCTACAGTCGGTGTTGATAGCGACAGGTAATGCCCCCCGTTCTTTTCTGCCCTGCTCTCCCTTTTTTTAATTGCTTGGCCTCCCGTTTCCCTCGCCTCTCTCTTCCCTAAATTTTCCGCATCCACTTTACTGGTTACCACCGACAGGTTCGTCGCGTTCGGAATCAAGTTCGTCAACACGGCAGGTCCCGAGAACCACCAAGCCGTCGCGTTCCGCGCCACGGGCGACCAAACGGCTCTTTTCGACTGCGCGTTCGACGGCGCGCAAGATACTCTGTATGTGGACGCGGGGCGTCAGTACTACAAGAATTGCTGGATTGGCGGCTCGATGGATTTCATTTTCGGCGACGCGGCGGTTGTAATCGACACGCCGAAAATCCAGCTACACCCGAGCCCTTCGTTTGTGACTATAACGGCGTCGGGGCGCAAATCGGAAACCCCAACGGGGATCGTGATTCGCGACGCGGAAATCGCGGCGGACAGCGGTACTACCGAGGTGTATCTGGGCCGTCCGTGGAAGAAATGTGCCTTCACCGTTTTCATCAACGCCAATCTCCCCGCGGTGAGATTCGCGTTGTTACCAGCCCTTTTCAACCCTACGTACCCCTGTACACCTGCATGCACCGCCATATACCCCTTTGTACCCCTTTTCACCCTTATGCACCCCGTGGAAGAAATGCGCCTCAACTGTTTCCATCAACGCCAATCACCCCGCAGACAGTTTCCAACCTTCATAGCATACACCCATACAGCATACCCCTTTTTAGCCTCACCCCTATCCCACCCTTTTCTGCTTCCTCCGTCCCTTTTTTCCTCACGAGTGATTGAAAAGGATGGCTGGTTGTCTTGGAACAAGTGCAGCCTCTCCTCCTCACCTTTTCTGCTTCTCCGAATTTCCTTTTTTTCCTCACAGGTGATCGAGAAGGACGGGTGGCTGACGTGGAACGAGGGCAGCTGCATGTTCCTGGCGGAGGCGGGCAGCAAGGGGCCGGGCGCAGCCTCCCCCCGCGCGGATTGGGTGGAGCCGGGGATAATCACTGACGTGAGTGGATATGACGCGAATACGTTCAGTGAGGTGAACAGCTGGCTCAGCTGGTCGGGGTAGCTGCTTCTGTGAGGGGAACCGGGGGGGGGAGACTGCAGGAGCCGAGCGGGAGATGGGGGAAGGGGGGAAGGCGGGGGGGAAAGGGGACAACAGCAGCAGCAGCAGCAGCAGCAGAGCAAGGGGGATGGCAGCAAGGGCCCGGGCGCGGCCTCCCCTTGCGCAATACCGGAGTGGAGGGGGGCCGGCAATAGCTCCAGAAGCAGAGCAGGGAGATGGGAACAGCAGGAGCAGCAGGAGCAGCAGAGAAGGGAGGGCAGCCGCAGCAGCAGCAGCAGCAGCAGCAGCAGCAGCAGCAGCAGCAGAGAAGGGAGGGCAGCCGCAGCAGCAGCGGTAGAAGAAGCAGGGGGGCAGCAGCATGAGCAGCAGCAGCAGGAGCATGAGAGTCCAAGTGTTGAAAATCAGCAGTGAAACGTCCTCTTAGAAGAAAAATCAGCTCTGAAGCTTAGTTCAATTCAGGTGCCTTACTTGTAGCTTCTTTGGCGAAATACTTGTGCTGTTTTTGGAAGTACCACTTGAGCCATTCGTGTCCATCCTGAGCAAACAATGTGCAGCAGTTGCCTTTTTTCCAGTTCATGGGATTCATGACGGGTTTCTATTCTTGGTTGTCGTCAGGCTGTCAGATTCACCTATTAGTACCCCGATGCATCAGGTTCTCCCTGAGTAAAAAGGCTGATTTACAGTGTTCTTAAAAAAAAAGGCTGGAAATTCAGTGTTGCTTAAAAAAAAAGCCTGATTGATCAGTGTTACATAAAAAAAACCCGATTAAATAAAAAACGAAGGATTTAAAGTTTAGCACAGCGTGCTTGCATGCAGCATCGACAGAGTTCAATCATCAGAATCAGAGTCACTACTCCTATTGCCATTGTCTCCCTGCCAAGCCTGCTCTATTTCCTCCAACTCTTCCTCTTCTTCAGCTACTTCCTTTCCTCTGCCATCGACCTGCCCCTCTACTGCTGGTGCTGCTGCAAAGTTACTGAAAGGACGGCGCTTCTTGTAGCTGCGCCAGATCTGCACAACCTCGTCATAGTTCGGCTCATACTCGAGGAGGGACATGGAGAGGAGGTCTTCTAGGCGGGCATCCTTGAGGCTCCCCCGCTGCCACGGATTGATGATGTTCTTGTTGGGCTGAGAAAAGCCCTTAGGAACTTTCAGGACTAAGATCGGGTGTTTGACGTAGAGATGTAATAGCGGA